TTAATTACATAGTATCTTTAAGTGTATCACCCACCAAATAAGAACGCGCTACATTTTCTTTTGTGATTGAATTTATTCCTTCAGTAATGAATGCTTTTTTACATTTTTTATTTGTACATATATAAAATACAGCTTAAGTATACATGTTTAAGCACAAATTCATATTACAACACTTTTTATCTTTTCAAATATCATACTAAATACAGCCGTAAATAAATTCATAAAAATTCAACATTTGTTCTTTTATAATTATAATAATGATAATAATAATAATAACAATAATAATTTTCAATATCTTTTACATTTACATAAATCCAGACAAAAATGGCAATGAATTAATCTTCATTGAAATTGAATATGATCCTTACAATTAGTATATTATTATGTTAAGTGAATAACGTAAGAAAATATACATCTTTGAGACAGGCCAGAAAAATTGCTGTACAAAAATGAAACATACAACATGGAACCAGGAAAATAGCTCACCCAGGGAACCATGAATGATCTAAGAATCAAGATAAAGAGCATTCTTCTACAACACAGAATAGAAAAGAATTATACATTACGTTATGATTAACGCAAACTTTTGAATTCTCAGATGACTTATGTTTTACGTTTATTGTTAATTCACGCAGTTCTTGGTACCTTCACGTAACTATTGCTATCGATTTTGTATCGTCAAAAGTATAGGTACTTGTAATAGAAAGTTTATTAAAATTTTGTATTTTTGCCTATGTCTATGTTAGTAGTTGCATGCTGATGTTAATAAATCATTAAGAAACTTATTGATAATTCGTGATAGACAAATAAGAAAATCTTGTACAATCATACTCTCATCTTGGTGACTTGAATCCAAAGTCACTCTTAGATTCAATAATGCATAATAGCTTGGACCCGGGTGACAACGCGCCTGGGTCGAATTGATTTCTATCTACTCAATGCCGAGCTTTGGCTAGCACGCTCTAATTTTTCGAAATGCTTTCGAGCATTACGGATATTAATTAGCGTTGCCGCCGATGCTATAATAACAAATAATTGTTTCAATAATTTACCAAACAAAATGTTTAAATTATAGATACTTACGAATTGCAGGATCCGACATAATAACCATTACGTATGTATTCGACGTAAATACATCGATAAATGCCGCAAAATTGGTATTTCTAACTTCCATACTTTGAAACTGTGCCGCTAATTTGCTAAATGTATTATTTTGTAAATATATTAACACATTAATGAACTTGCAATGTATCTTGATAAACTTACCTACAACTTAACTTGAATTGTTTTATTATATTTGAAACCTTTTCAAATCTATGAACGTCTCTATGATGTTGTCTCTGACAATAACTTATTACCAAAAATGTTGCTCTTTCGAACAGTAGGACTTCATCGGCGTCAATAATATTTGTAAATTGTTTCAAACTTTGTTCAAGTTCTTTCACATTGGGAATCAACATATACACAATAGAAGACCATGCCCTGAATAATATAATTAGTTAGATGAAAATCTGAATTTATACTAACTAGAACTAATGCAGAATAATAAAGACATACCTATACAAAGTTTCATCCCATATACTAGTTCTAAAACAAGTACATTCAAGGGGTAAACTAAGCCTTCTTAAGTCCTCTTCTCTCTCCCTAAATATCACATCGCGCTGATCTTCTTGAAGCAAATCCATCTTATGTACTAGGCAGAATATTTTTGCTTCTGGACTGTTTTGCAGTATTGCTTCTAAACAACTTTGATAATAATGCATATCTTTATCCAATTCTCTTGACTCAACATCGAAAACATAGATTAAAACCTCAACGTTCCTAAATATATTATCCCGTTGAGATGCAAAATAATTTTCCATAAATGCTTCCTGGCCACCACAGTCCCAAAGATTTAGCACCAAATTACCAAGAAATCTTACATGACTATGTTCCACGTCAACTGCAAGAAACATAGATAACAATGAGTACATATAAAATTGAAGAAATAGTTTACAAAGGAATGAAAGTTCATTCTTACTCACTTGTTGCTCCAAGACGACGAGTATCACGAGCAATATAATTTGCAAAAATAATGCTACGCATACTGGTCTTCCCAGAGCCACTTTTACCCATTAAAAGGACCTAAAAAAAAAATATAAATATTTGTTATGATAAAAACATAACACTTCAACCACTATAATAAAAAATTTAAAGATCTATGCATATAAATACCTTCTTCTTCATCTTGACTCGATAATGTTGAACTTGATAATGTTAATCTAAAACTTTATACGCGGTCGTTGTTTTGCTACAATCGTTTGAACAATTCTGATTTGCCTGTAACAAATCATTGAATAGTATAAGATCGTCATATAATTAAATAATTCTCAGCTTTTTTGCAATTTCATATCCAGGTTATTCTAAACTCTTCCATGAATCACCAATGTAGGTGTAACTTTATGACATGTAACCATGTAACGCAACTGAAACGCGACAGTCTTTTCGTTTCCTAATTAGGACACAAAATGCGATTAAAAAATTGTTAATCGTACAAAAACATTGATCGATTCGAGCGTGGATGTTGATTACATTGACAGTAAACAGATATACAATATTAAAATTACGATTTACCCTCTATTCTTTACAATGTAAATGTACACTGCTAATAACTAACTTCAAGCGTATTACTACTGCAGCACCAGGAAAAGATAAGATAAAGAAAAACAATGTTAAAGTAGAGGGTTTATTTCCCCAATGCAACAAGAATTTGTGTTGTGACTATGTATTCCTCTCATTGGTGGAGTAATATTCTTTGGTGTTGGTCTTACTGTCTAACACAGGTGTACAGAATTTTCTTTAAAAACAACATTTGCCATGTACATTTTGGATTATCTACATTAAATGTATGAATGTTCCAACATAATCTAATGGAATGTAATAGGGAGAAAAAATTATATAATACATAGAATATTTCAAAAAGAGATAAGACAGAGATCAGAAGAACTAATAATAAAAAAAATTCATTTTGTTTGTTTACAATACATGGTTGCCACTACATGACGCTTTGTAACATTCAATGTCCAATAATACATATTTTTATAGCACCTTAGTATTCCTTATATGTACTTTATTTAAAGAACTAAAAATTATATATACAGCAATTCATCATAGATTCATGTACAATGTCTCAGTTATACAAATTTGAAGTTTGGTGAAAGAAACAATATTTCATATATAATAATCGTTTTTAAGCATATTTCATACTACAGACAGCCATTATGTAATTAATATATATTATTGTTTACATTATAATAAGAAGTCAATATGATAATACAACTATAATAATAATTGAAAAATTTCAACAACTTTTCGTGTATATTACATATTTAAAGTTTCTATTAGGTACGATATTTTTAACTTTGATGCTCTAAGATTTTTAATTGTATTATAAATACGAATACATATGTACAGTAATGAGACCTACTTCTACACACTTTTCTAACTCCCTAAGCTAAAGTGCACATCCCCTCCATTTTTCTGTGCTTCCAAAAAAATACAGATCTCTATCTTCATTTTCGACTGCTTCTTTTGATAGTACACATCAATAAGCTCGATTCATTTGAAGTCGGTATTACATGATATTGAAAACTACGTCACATATAGCGCCGTCATTTGATCTGTTAATTGTACACGTGAAATTATAAAATATAATTTTTAGTAAAATTGCAGACAAATAAAGACAGCTTTTCGGAACTTACTGTAAATTTATTAAATTATTACAAATTTAAAAAGTTCGAGAGATAATCTATAAATCCGAAGGAAGTTTCTCCTCTAATCTATTTTACACGCAGATAAAACTGCGGTGCGCAAGTGCAAAGATGACGTGTGACTTATTTCACTTTTCACTTTAGCTTGATAATAGAGAAGAAAAATAGTGTAGAGGAGATAGAAACAATGTAAAGACAAATCGAGCTGTTGGCATTATTTTATTTTCGATATATTATTTTAAATGACAACAATTCTATCGGACTACATTTATGTATTTAAATTTCAATGATAACCATATATTAGTATATACATATAGAGATGACTAGAGGGATTGTTAACGTTCGGAACTCGTCAAACATATGATGCGCACCGAATTTTAAAAAGAAGATGAGAACCTTTTTCAGCGTCAGAGGGAAAATTAAACAGAAAACGAATACTACAAAGCAACATTAACCTGCACACTTAATTTTTATAATGCTTTCAATAGCAGTCACTTTTTTCAACTTACCCACAAATATATCAATTTGTTTAGCATACAATGTAAACATCAAAGGCATTTTCAATGTTTGAAAATTACAATCACAAATATAAATAATAAGTAATAAATTGATAAGTTTAATGATTGAAAATTATACGATATTTTTAGTATGTCGGTTATAAAAATTCAACAAGACAGATACCGCCAATTGAGATACTTCAGAAAACGAATATTTAAAATTGAATAATATATATCCTATTAATCTTCTAATTATTCGATCTTTACGATTCAAGCTTTGATTTTCATTATTCAATAAGCTACTTCATAATACAGCATTTATATGTGCCATTTATTTGTAATTGATAGTTTCATTTTTTAATTTGCGAGTAAATAAAAAAGAGCGACCCTGTCATGAAAAGTATTTTCAAGCAATTAGTACGACTAAAGCTGTGTTGAGAAAGAAAATTCTAAGCAAAATCTTACTTTGCAGCTAGCATTATTTTCTTTTGTAGGTTGAATCTACCCCAAACACTGTAAAAGGTTCTCAACTTCCTCCTAAAACTCAGCGCGCATATGTTGTTTGACGAGTTTCATCAAGCCACGGCGAAGCTGCAAAACTCGAGCGTTAGTAGCAATCTTCTCTTCTCATCTTCGGTGCATACTAGTACCGTAGTATGCAAAACATCTCTGTAAATCTAATATTATCATTTACTACAAATTATGATGTGTATGTAGAATTTTTATCCTCTTTTATCAAGCATGATAAATGCATACGTAGATGTATGTAATTTTCTGTTCGTTTCTTCAAAAAACATCGGAATCATAACGAAGTGCGCGAAATTTTCGTTTTCGATATGTTGGCTAACCTGTAATTGATTCGGATGCAGTATTACCATCGCTCCAACCTATATTATTCTAAATTTTTTTTAAACATGTATCTACACACGCACACTGTTGGCCGTGTCCAGTCGGTAACAATTGGTGTGGGTGAAGCTAAATGCATGTGTACGCATTAATGATTAGACCTTGCAAGTATGCGAGGCGAAAGATAGCGTACGAAGGAAGAAAGAAAAGAGTGTTGTAAGTCCAGTGAAAAAGTGCAAAAGAGAAACGTAAAGGCGAAGAGGAAGGGGGAGTGAACGGTGTTTCAGTGGAAGCACTGTGCAGTGATAGAGAACTGCGGTGGCGGTTGTGATTCAGACTCCTTATCAACCTCGAGAAGTCGTGGAGAAGTACAGGGAGTGATCCGTCGACATCGGGCGTCGATTCTCTATGCGAAATGAGGTGCCATTGATAAAACTTGGAGCGCCGCGTGGTTCCGCCTCCGCCGTGCCCGAACGCGGCACATCACGGACGTGTGGATAAAGCGGCGCCATATACATATATAGATATACATATATATATACGTGTATATATACATACACATATATATGTATATATATACGATATATAATCGTATTTTTTCTTTCGAGAGTGCGAGAGGACAGAAAAAGGGAGGAGTGAAACGAGAGCCGCGAGAGAACGAAAGAGAAATCGCGACACTAAGGGAGGTCGACACGGAAGGTCGGGAGCGAGGAAAAGAGGTAGGGATCCGTAGATGCGGCGGGGTGTCTGCACCCGTGCGTGAATCACGCTTTGGAGGCGTTCGTCTGACCCCCGTTTTCGAGTACACCCTATACTCACGACATTGACCCAATCGAGGACGCTGCGAGTATTCGCAATTATACAAAACCATAAACGAGCACCGTCGATTAGCTTTACAAAACTGTCACTCACAGAGGAGGGGCTTTTCCCTTGCTCTCGTTTCATGTCTTCTACCGGTCGTCCGAAGCTTTTCTATCCGTGCTCGTGATACAGAGCCGGTATCAGAAACGTTGGTCAAGCAGCATCCACTAAATTGAGGAAAAAAAGAAATAAGGTCACCTTACTACTTGGCAGAAGGAGTGAATGGCTCTTAGAATCTTGCACCTGCTGCAGACAACTTGGTGGTCTTGTCAACAGAGAAGATTCTGTACATACTGTGATTTGAAACCTTAGTCTTTTTGGAATTTGTGAAACGTCAAAACAACCAAAACAGCCGTGGCAGGAGACGGTAGAGCAACAAAGATTCTGAAGTAAAAGGACAGAAACGCAGCAACGTAGGATAGACTGGCAACAAAGGGATAGGAGCACAGGCAAAATGTCAGATGAAGAGGATAAACCCCCTGCACCTCCTGTGCGACTTACATCAAACAGGTAATTTTCATTTATAAATTTTCTCCCTTATGTATATTCGCTATATTTGTCTTGTAAGAAGAACTTTTCAAGAATAAGAGTTTATTATTTACTATTTGTAACTTGTACTAGATTCACTTCTATGTTACATACATTTTGCAGTATAAATACAATCTGACTAATATCCACATTCATGTTTCACATATGTTGATAGCCAATATCATTTTATCATACTGTGAGCTCTTATTATTTTCTTTGCAATATGCACAGATCTGCGTCCCCTTAAAATAGAGGAACAGGCACTAATTTAGTAGTTGCTAAAAATAAAATCCTACAGTTCAGATGCAATGACATTCTGTTGTGGGAGACCATCCTTTTAAGTCTTTCTATACAGCTATAATCTTTCACCTTACAAGCAAAATATAAGATGTGTGATAGTGTTGCATATAAATAACTTGTATTAAATAATGTTTTTCTAATTTAATATAAGCCGTATGTTATTTAATTGCGTATGAGACAATATTTACTAAGAATAAAAAATTATTCATAACTGTATCTTTGTATTAGGTAAAACTAATTATCATCTTAAATTATATAGAATATAATTATTATTATGTACATATAGATATTATAAAATAAAAATATTTTAGAATATGAGATCAATACTTAGCAATGTATTAAATGTTTCAGGAGTGAATCTGCACCTAATTTACCAGTGGACATGCGTCCATTGCCAAAAGAACCTGATTCTGATGAACGTAAGAAAAAGACATTAAAAAGCAAAATGAAGGTAAAAGAAAACAAGGACAAGCCCAACATCAGTTATCCCACCAACTTTGAACATACAGTACATGTTGGATTTGATGCAGTTACCGGTGAATTTACGGTAAGTTTTTTGTTGTTTGCAATTTGTTACTACTGTTCAAAGTGCACTCGCTTCCTGCTTTGCTACTATATAATGGTACGGAGTATCCAAATTAACATTTTGTAAAAATAACTTTATTTCATTTCAATACATTACTGGTTAGGTAAATTACTCCACTATTATTAATGATAATTGTAGTTAGTATGGTAAATAATTCTTTGCAAGCTAAATACTATTAAATTAGCAATTAGTATTCAGATGATATGCTTTTACAAGGAAAGATGGTATTTACTTGCACTTAACACAAAGATAGGATATGTTGCAATAGTTGGAAGTTAATGAAATTTTCTATGTACTTCATATTAAATTTGGTGTTATTTTGATACTATAATTTCATATACATCAAAATCATATATTCATTTTTGTCATGTATTCATTGCATAAAATTATATAAATGACCTATAATGTATTGGTAAGGATTAATATAATAAACTTTCTTCTTAGAAAAAAAAAGATAGTGATGGATTTTCCGTACCTAAAATAAATTAAATTTTCATCACCTGGTCACATGTGTATGGACACTGTGGAAAAGTAATTTGGTAATTTGTCTGATGCTTCTTATACCTATTATTTTTTCACATGAAAAACTAACTAGACACGTATTTCTTTCAAGCTGCCATTGAAAGTAAGTAACTTCAAATAACGACAGAAAATAGTTTGCCTGCATCTTTTATTATATCTACACATAATTTGACTGTTTGTTTCTGTTGCGATTGATCAAACTACCTTATTATTCTTTTTTTTTTAATTCAAAATTTGAAGTTTATAATAGATTACAGGCATAGCTGCTTCAGTAGATTAACAAACGCTTTAGTCAACGTTGCATTTGATATTATTGCTTTCTGGCAACACAAAATTTCAAATTGGTTTGAATGCTTAAAATCTTACTTCCCATACATCAATTGAATTCTCAAGTATTTTATATTTGCACGATGTTCTCTTGGTTTTCAAAACTTTGAGAATTAATCATTGTGAATAAATACATCCTGTATCACTTGTTTCTATCCTTGTATATATATATATATATTGTATATATGTATATATATATATATATATTGTATATATGTATATATACAATATTAAAAATGATCGTGCTAAAACATCATTTTCTATCCTAGGGAATGCCAGAAGCATGGGCAAGGCTGCTTATGTCTAGTAACATCAGTAAACAAGAACAGAAGAAGAATCCACAAGCTGTATTAGATGTTTTGAACTGGTATGATAGTAGCAGTAAAGAAACGAAAGGTTCTAAATACATGACAACAACAAAAATGGTTGGAGTAGTTGGTAAGCTACTGTTTCTTTAAGGACGAATTCATATCATTAATTGATCCATTGAATGTATGCTAAAAATATTTAATTCCATTTTAAGCTCCTATTGAAAGAGCAAGTAGTCCCAGAAGCATGGGTATAGGGGTTGGAACTGGAGTAGGGAGTATTCGTGGTCAAGCGATGTCACAGGCTTCTGGAAGTTCTCATTCTCAACATTCACTCAGCAGGTGAGTCTTTGTTACAATTTTTACGTCATATGATTAAATATTCGCTGAGAAACAATAAACTTACAGAGTAAGTAGCAGTAGTCCTAGTAGTACACCAACAGATGCTTGTGCAACCAGTTCTGAGCAAGAAGATGAGCCTCCACCACCCCCAATTTCTGCTAGACCGGAACGTACAAAATCAATTGTATGTAACATTTCTTCTATACAAAATGTTCGAATTGTTTCTTCAGCTTTCGTGGATGTGTACAAAAATATAATTTTTTGCGACAGTATACAAAGCCAATAGAAGAAGAACCGCCACCGCCAATAAATACAACGCTAGGTTCACCTCAACGAAATGGTACACCACAACAACCGCATCAATCGCAATTGGACAGAAACAAGAATCAAGCAACTCCTACATCGACAACGACTGATCAAACGAGACCGACTCAAAGCGATAAAGCTAGAAAGAAAAAAATGTCGGATGACGAAATATTAGAGAAACTGAGAACAATTGTAAGCGTAGGTGATCCTAATAGAAAGTATACAAAAATGGAAAAAATAGGTCAAGGGTAAGTTGTAATATGCAAAGTTGTACAGTGTAACCTCAGATCCTACAAGACTCTCCGGCCATAGCTCGCTCTGTTAGTGAAAATAGGAGTAGAAATTGCTTTGCTCTGATTGATTGAAGATTCAGTGCTAAGACAGGATTCACTGCGGATTGGATGTGCAGTAAAATGTTTGGATACAAGCGCTTCCTTGGGGAAGAAGAAAAATCTTGTATGAATTGAGGCATCACTGACATACAAATTTTTTACAAACGCATTAACACTTTTTATTTGTTTTTTAGTGCTTCGGGAACAGTGTATACGGCAATTGAAACATCGACTGGGATGGAAGTTGCAATAAAACAAATGAATCTTTCACAGCAACCAAAGAAAGAGCTGATCATAAACGAAATATTAGTTATGCGGGAGAACAAACATCCGAATGTTGTAAATTACTTGGATAGTTACCTTGTAGGAGAAGAATTGTGGGTAGTTATGGAATATTTACCTGGTGGTAGTTTGACTGATGTTGTGACTGAAACTTGTATGGATGAGGGTCAAATAGCAGCTGTATGTAGAGAAGTCCTACAGGCTTTGGAGTTCCTGCATTGTAATCAAGTTATACACAGAGATATTAAATCTGATAATATCCTGCTTGGGTTAGATGGTGGAGTGAAACTAACAGATTTTGGGTTTTGTGCACAAATTTCACCGGAACAAAGTAAACGAACTACTATGGTTGGTACACCATATTGGATGGCACCAGAAGTAGTTACAAGAAAACAGTATGGTCCAAAGGTAGATATATTTCACAAACAAAAAAAGTAAAAGATTTTTTTATTATTTATTATTAACTATGAACTCCTAGGTGGATATTTGGTCGTTGGGTATTATGGCTATTGAAATGATAGAAGGAGAACCACCATATTTAAATGAGAATCCTTTGAGAGCACTGTATTTAATTGCAACCAATGGTAAACCCGAAATTAAGGAGAAGGATAAATTATCGGCAATTTTTCAAGATTTCTTAGATCAATGTTTAGAGGTTGAAGTGGAAAAACGATCGGCAGCTTCAGAATTACTCAAGGTAACTTAAGCACAATGCATATACATGATATGTTAATATAATTATACCTTTCGCATGGATATTACGTGTCACGATTAAAGAGATATTCTGATCTAAGACAATCAGGCTAGCTTCGAAACTTTTTTTTATCACAAAATTGAAATAAATGGAAAATAAATGAAAGAATAGAATTATTAACTAAAAAAATAAATTGTTTTGATTTTCTATGCTTATGGCTGACAATCATAAAATGCAATTCAGATTTCCAATACTATGCTTGCAAAGTATAGTATTCAAATTCTTATAACTTCGTGAATTTTGGAAATTTATAAAACCAATTTGAGAAACACATTCTTTAAGAAAATTTAAAATAATCGTTCTTTTTTTAAATTTCTAGACTAAAATTCTTTCTTAATATATATTTTAATATATATTTTTGTGGTAAATTGCAGCATCCTTTTCTGAAACTAGCAAGGCCGCTTGCTTCCTTAACACCCTTAATAATGGCAGCAAAGGAAGCTGCGAAAGGCCATTAGCGGCAAAATTCTTGTTGGCATTTCTGGCTATGCAGTGTGATCAGAAAGATTAAGTTTGCGAGTAAAAAAAGAATCATCCTCCCAAAACGGAACGGCACAATAATTCAATAATATATTATAAATATTGAATAAACATATATAAATATATAAACATATATATAAATATATAAATATGTATATATATAGATATACATGCATATAAGATATATACATATTTATATATATAGGTCATAGATAGATAGAACTTATCCGATACCTTGAGAAGTATCGAGAAATGGTTTCAAAGTTTTTAAATTGCTCGATTCTCGCATGTTGCGAGGAAACAAAGTTAAATCAGAACTGTAAACGATCTGACGGCAGAAATCTTGCACTCCTCGACGAGTTTTTATTGGTCACAAAGAGCTCGCCATGTCTTATTTAAATATTCTTCAAAGGGAAAAGTAAGAATAGTATGAATGGGTTGTTGCCTGAGGAGCTCTTGTACCAATATCGAACTGCGGTCGAGGACTTCCAAGCGACTGTCAGTTATTTTCTAAAGATATAAAAAAACTAGTATTACTGACTCTAAAAAATTGAAGATCAGAGTTAGCTACAAACATACATACATTATTTATAGCGAAAACCTTATTAGATAATACCATAAACAAATGTGAACAAGTACATAGGACCTATTCTAATACATTATTATGGTTTAACAAGAAATCGTAGGAAGAAAGAAAAAAAGAAAAAATTGGTCTTCGTGTCAGACTTATATTTTTTGAACGAAGTTACGGAGAACAGAGCAATATGTTTTCAGTCTTTGGTCTGTCAGTATGACGTAGGTATAATAAGCGATAGCCTAACTTGTTTTAAACGTTCTCGAGAGATCACGTTCTTGTCGGATGAATGTTAGCAAACTTGATTATGTTACATTAAGTTAAAAGTCTTAATAGATGTTCTTACAATTTGGACATTGCAATCCATGCATTACATTACATGTATATAATTTCAAGAATATTGATTTTACCGCGTGGGGGAAGTTCATAACGAATTCAGCATACACGAGTCTTATTTAATGTTACTTCATTTTGTGTAATTGTAAGATAAAACATAAGTACTTTTTCTCATTTGCATCGCTCATGAGACATGTTGAGACATTGACCTTGTTACTAAAATATATTAGTTATTAAAACATCTTTCTATCCGTGGACAAGTGTCCTGTTAACGTGTGTTCTACAATACAGGTCGTAAGAAGCAAAACGTAAAAATGTCTTCAACGTGTCTTGTAAGAAACGAACGGATAAGTGACGAAATTTTAAAACAAGATTCAGATATAGGAGCATTTTGTGACATTATAAAGTGCCTGTCTTGTCATGTTTAGAGACGTGAAAAACTTGCGCTAGATTCCTTGTAATCTTGAATCATCAACAGGATAATTTAATATTTTGTTTAAAAAATACCAACAGACACAGACGTACACACAAGTCAACTGAGAAGGAAAAAAGATATACAAAACTTTACGTTAACAATTGTACGAGACGAGATTTCTATATGGTTGTACTACACTAAACCTAATAATTAATGTCTTTCCTAATTGTATTATACCATAAACATATATTAATTGCTGAAGCGGAAGCCTTGGACGTTTTAGTTTAAGGAACACAGACTTTCAGACTTGTCATTTTTATTCTTTTCATCATCATTACTTGTAGAACATTACTGTAAAGTACCGCTAATGGACGCAATGTGAGAATATAATAGATATCAAGGAAGTTAATGATATATTGCATATGAAACGATGAAAAAAAGAAACAAGTGCAAGGAAAGCATACATTATTTCGTAATAAAAAATCGTATATGCAATAATGTATTCATTATTTACTGAGTTTATTGTTTTCGTAATACTATTATTAAAAAGCCTGATTAGTTTTTTTATATTAATTAATAATGTCTAATTATACTTGACAGACGAAGAAGCTCAGTTTGCAACGCGCTTACGCCCGAACTTAGAATAGCATGCTGAAGGGTAATTATATTTACCTATAACGAACCAAGGATTATAATCTATAATCTTGCCTCGATGTCGAGGATGAGCTCCCGCCATTTCAGCATGCATTCTAAACTATTTGGGAACTGTAAGTAATGTTAGGCGCGGTATAGAGAACAAAGTAACTGTGCACGTCTAGTATTAAAGAAATGCGTTTTGTGTAAACGATACAAAAGGAAAAAAAGTGCGTGCGATCCAGGGTCAAAATTGACGTTAACTCGAACAGACATTACTGAACGAGGTCCTGCATTTTCACAAATATCTGTAGAAGGAAAAAAACGTCCATTTTATGTAATTGTATTACTGCGGCGGTGATTAAGCATATTTCAGCTGAAGCAGCTATCTATATAAGATTTATTTTTATTTGTAAATCGAGCCGAACCGGGGTGCAAAGTTTACTTGTCCATATTTTTAAATACCACATAAGAATATTATAACAGGTTTACGATTAGGCATGTGAACATTCTGAGTGAGATCCGTTGTTTGTTGAATGAACCCAAGTACAAAAGTTGTATCAGTATGCCTTATCATAATAAAACTGAGAGCCATTCACCTATTTAGAATCATTGTTATTATTTTATTGTTAGTACACACAAATCGCAATAATATATTGCTACAAACAAGACTTGGATAAAAATGTGGACAAGGATAAATGTTCTCGGTCCTTACGTCTCGGTTATCGTTCCAAGTGCATTTATGTATTTCCGTAAGAAACTTATTCTGGTCGGTTTAGAACTATATAAATAGGTTCCTATACAAATCGAGTTATGAGCACGTGTAATCATGTTTTTGTAACTTTTTTTATGATGTTTTTGAAAATGCTTTGAGATCTCAATATGAAACAAGAAATCAGGCCTAGTGACGGAGCCGTTATATTATTTACATATTTTATTATTAAAGTTTTCAGCTTTCGAATTTTACTGAAAATGTCATTTTAACAATGTGTACCTCTCTTTCTATGAAATTGGTATTTATTATTGCAAGAGAATTTGGTAGAGAATCTGGTTTCTCAGGAAAAGCTAATATTTAAACAGTGTCGAATTTAAAAATGAAGGAAAGCAGGAAATGGATAATGAATTATTGTAAAAATAATGCCTAGAATTTGCATAT